TCTCAATCAAACACACACAAATCACTCAATTCCTTCTCTAATCAAAAAGCCCCAAAGGTTGAATTCTACAACTCCGTTTTAGTAATGTACTTCCAAAAACTCGAGTACACACTTTTGAAATTAACGGCACAATTTTTCGGCATTTTACTCTCTTAGATTCTCCAAGACGTTTAGTTGGAGGATTTCAGGGGAGAGGGAAGCAGAGTGGTCATAACTAAATTTAAAATAATTTCTTCATTTTAAAAAATGAAATAAGGTGAATACAAAATAGTATATAAAAAAATACATGGTATAACTAATTATATATTTATTTGCAGTCTAAAACTAACAAATTCAAATAATAAATAAATCAATAAATCAATAAATCAAATAAGAGTTCATTTCCAAACTAAATGGGGTTCATGTTTAAGCAGAGACCGGTGGTACTATGCAATTCCGGTTCAAATACCGGCGGTTGCCGTTTCGATTGAACCTTAAATCTCCGACATGTCTAGTTACAACATCTTGTTATACGAAACTGGACAAAATCAAACGTTCAATATTTTACTTTTTTATCAAGCAATTACATCTTTCTTCATTTAATATCTTTTTTAGCCACTGCAAGTTCATGGTTACTAAAAAACTCACAAAGGTATTTTTTCAACTAGTTGTGCCACATATACTCTTAAGATTATTTTTTTGTGTGTGTGTGACCTGGTGGTAATCCAAAACCAAAAGGCTTTGGGGTGAGGACTAGAGAACAACTCTCCTATTTGTATACTCTTAAGATATCATGAGTATAACTCTCTCTCTCTGTTAGGAATTTGGAGTTGGTGTCTTCTTAACAGTTGTAGAACTCAACGAGATGAATCCAAGGCTTTGGACCACCCAGTAGGAAGTTAAGGACGAAACCATGAACAAACTTGCAGACCCGCGATCTTGGCTCGTGATTTGCCACTCGTGATCTTGGGTGGAGGATCACCCCCGTGGTCTTGGACTGCGAAGTCACCGTGATCTTGGCCATGGACCGTTAGGTTTTATCAAATCCCAGCTCCCTTACTATACTCCAATGGACAAAAACGATCTGCATGCCCAATAAGACCATACACAAAGCAAAAAGTTGTTTAGAAATGTTTAGAAATGAGGGTATTTATAACCCCCCACCCCCATCCCAAACGGTCATATAGTCATTGCCAACAGCCACACGCCACCCAACGCCTAACTTCTATTATTTTTTAAAATTTGACTATTCGGCCCGAAATTGGGACCGGGATCGGGACCAAAAGATTTTGGGATCGGCTAACATAATTGATCCATGATACCAGAGCCGAAAAGATAAGAAGGATATACAAGAAGAATAAAAAAATATTAAGTAAAATAAAATGGATAAAAATAAGGATAAAAACTCCTTGCGTCTCTTAAAACTTTGTCAAGTTTGACCGCCACGGAGACTAATAAAGTAAAAACTTTGTGGTTAAGTTTTGTGCAGAGGAGAGAGAAATAACAAGAACCACAAACAATTGATTAAAAAGGAAAGTGACATAGTTTTTTGGGACATCTAAAAAAAAGATGTCAAAGTTTTAAGGGACTGGGGGAGTATAAGATAACAATAACATATAAGAACATAAGAAAGATAAAAAAAAGAGAAAATTGCTCCATGTAAGACTTAATCATAGCATTTTTATAAAAATAATACTTACATACGTTTTTTCTTTGCGTAAGAGCCATGTGGTTCTATTTTTGAAAACTGGATTTTAAACTTCCAGTTTTACCCTTCTTTTACGTGACCTGCTCTGCTATTGAGCTATTATCAAAATTTATTGTCTGTTTAATGACTACTTAGTGTCTATGTATTGCCTGCTATTGAACTATTATTAGAACTTATTGTCTGTTTACTGACCACTTAATGTCTATGTATTGTCTAGTGTTTGCAAGTTTGATTTTGGATCTGGTTTCTTCAAACATTTTGCAGAATACCTGAGGCGTTGTAAACGTTTCTTCAAACGTTTAAAATGTTTGATTAAAAAATTTCCAAATCCAATTATTGAAATTCATGTTTGGATCTATCTTTTCATATTTTAAACACAGGCCACAACCTTGCATTTTGGATCTATGTTTCTGGATCTTAAAATCATATCCAATCCTTGCATTTTTGGATCTATGATTTTAGATCTTAGATGGAAAACAAAAAAAAAATTGAAAGAAGAAAAAAGAGGACGAACGAGGATGATGTAGGATGAGGAGGAAAAGATCGGAAGAGGAAGAGGAAGAAGAAGAAGCAGACGAGGAGGATGAAGAAGAGCCTTCAGCTGTCAATTACCTTAGCCGCGCTGCTGCATCGCAAAAACCTAGCCACCATCGCCATCGTCGAGCTCTAGCCACCGCCGTCACCGAACCCCATCGGCGTCGATCGATCCAAAGCGAGAAGGGGAAAGGAGAGAAGTATCGATAGGCAAGGGACATTTGATGCGGAGATCCCTTTGATGCGCAGGGGCAGTTTGATGCGCAGGGGGATTTAAAACAAAGGGGGGCAATTTGGTCAAAGCAGGTGTAGTTAGGTCTTATGCTAATCTATAGTCTTAATTTTGGAAAATTAGTATGATTAGGTCTTATTTGTTGAAATCCCCCTAAAAAAAATAAAGAGTATAAGAAAGAAAAAATAAAAATAACATAAAATATAGAAAAGATAAATAAGGTAAACGATAAAAGAAAATAGAAAGAAAAGAGAGCAAGGAGATCAATCGTCTACACGAATTTGCGCTCTCTACCTTGCTCCTTGCCTTTATTGTTATTATGATAATTAATAGCTGGCAAATACTTTTTTAGTTTGAAAAAGTAAGAATGTTTTTTATTGAACTAATTTTAGTCTCAGATCATATCAGACTAAATTAGCCCAGACTTACATCAGATCAGATTAGATTTTGGCCATTATAAATACACATACAACACTCATTTACCTCAACAATCCAAATCAGAAAATTATAATTTAATTAAAAGTAATAATAAGAGATCACACCCAGTCATCCACCCTATAGTGAATTTATAAAACGAGTACTTCATAGGCACAACTAATCACAAGCGAGTAGCCGGTCTGTGTGGGATTAAAGACGGATCCACTAAGAGTGGGTCTGTTTGGTAATACAAAAATCGGCTGATTCGACTGATTTTGCTGAAATTTATGGAGTTGGCTGAAGTGGCTGGATTGACTAATTCTGTTGATTTAAGAAAAAATTATACTTAATATATATTTTGTTAATATTCCATGACTCAAATAATTCTGAAATATAATTATGTTGATGGCTAATATTCTATCATTTGCAATGGAGCCAAAGACTCATTATTTTGGCTTGAAAATATGATGGAATAAATCAAAATGGTTCACTAAACTGTCTGCACTTCTTTGTTATGAAGTTGCAGTCAGTCCATGCAATTTCGGACGTGATTTTCACTATGGGTCATCTGGAAACAGTCTCTTTGTGCTCTTAGTACAGGGATAAGACTACGTACATCCGACCCCACCTTACCCCACCGTAGGTGGGAGCCTTTGTGGCACTGGGGTAATGATGATGATGATATATTTTGTTAATAAAATAAAGAAAAATTATATGGAAAAATAGTTAAAATGATCGTCTACAGCAACTTCGGCCAATACAGGCAGAAAAGTAACTTCAACCTTATTGTTTCTTATTATTACACAAGTCAACGCGCGAAATCAAAAGTTACGTGTTTGGTGAAAAAGTTGGTTGATAAGCCGAAAAACAAAGTGACCAAACGTCCTCTATGTTTGCTATTGATTTTTAGAAGTGCTTTTCAGATTTTTCCGCGAAAAAAGCTAAAAGTGGTGTTTGCAAACACAACTTTTGCTTAATTTTTCATCACTTTTAATTTATAAGCTCACAACAACAAGGAGATGCTTTTAATAGTTTTAAGGTCTTTTAGTAATTAGCTTCAACTTGAAGGACAATTATATAGACAACATATTTTTTTAGTAAACACTCCAACTTTTACATTTTAATCAAACTCACTTCTATTTACAAACACTATTTACTTTTATTATAAATATAACTTTTTCAAAAATCATTTAAACAAATCACTTTTAAGAAGCACAAACAAACACAAACATAGCCTAAATAACATACGTTGATATTTTCTTTCCTCATTCCCCTCTCAAAAAAGAAATTACAAATTGAGTTCTTTTGAGCAAAAAAAGGAATTGAGTGTACAAACAACAATGCAAGTGTCAAGCGGAGAAACACAGAAAAGTATTATGAATAAAATTGAGAAGCAATTCATTTTCCTAATTCCTACTTCTAAAGAAAGCTATAGGTGACATAAAAATGTCATGAGTGGATTGAGAATACTCTTTGACTCCTTTCAGCAGAGGCGTCACCATATTTCGTCGAATCAGCCAAATACGTTTCCTCCCTTTCTTAGTCCATGTTTGGTTCAAAAATGATTTTCATAAACATTTTTGTTTGATTGAAGTAAATGGAAAGGAAGTTTATTCTCTAATTTGCCTTTACAGGCAACGGTGGAGATCGAGGGAAGCTAGAGGGGGCCTCAACCCTCCAAGAAAAAATTTGTACTGTATTTATATGTGTATAAATATTTATAAATAATAAAAATTTAAATTTTTGTTAAATATAGTAAAAAAGAGTTTGGGCCATCAAATTTTAAAAGGATTTTGTTATTCTAATATGTAGTATTTTTTGGGGATAATTTGAGTTTGCGTCAACTTTATTATCCAAATTGAACTTTGCACCCCGTTCCTAAAAATTATTGATTTTGCACCCCAACCTCATGTGAAAAGAAAAAAATGCCCCTCCATTAACAATTATGTTGATCTTCAACATATTCCTGATCAAGAGCATTTTTGTCTTTTCACATGGGGTTGAGGTGCAATTTTTAAAAAATGATGTGCAAACTCCAATTTGAACAATAATATGAGGTGCAAATTCAAATTATCTTCTTTTATGAACAAAGAAGTTGAGTATAAGAACAATAATGCATGGGTAGAGCTGGGAAAAGAATTATTAAAGAAATTTGAGAAATGAGAAGTAATTATTTTTCCTACTTTTCTTTCATTTCACCGATTCCCAAATAGGCAAATTTGGGATTCTTCCATTTTCCTAAAGCAAATTTTTTATTATTCATTCCCCTTTTCCCCGATTCTCTTCCGTTCTTAAACCATCCTGAGTCAGGAAGAGCCACAGTCTCGAATTTATCAGAGAGGTCACCTTTGCCTCTCCCAATCAGACATGCATTGAGTCCCCCCCTTATTTCCTACATTTTTTATTTTGGTAATTCTCCATCTGATAACATTTTCCATTGTTGATGTTTTGGTTTTCATGATTTTCTTTTTCTTGTTGTTTGTATTAAGTATTGTTTTCTAATATTATTATCTGATGGCTGAGATGATAACATTTCATGATTAATTGTCCTTCAGTTTCGTGAATGGCTGAGATGATACTCTGTAGCTTGTAGGGTTGGAGACTGAATTTGACTGTTACGGACTGAGGAAAAAGGGGGTTTTATTCCAGAGGTTCTCATGATGTATATGCTGAGCTTCTTAGCTGATGATTGACCCCCTCGTCTACTAACATATGCTTTTGTCCTGGGTGGTGAGTGTTTTGATGTGGTTTCCTTCAGCAAAATGAAGAATCTAGGCCGTGCTTAAGCTTCCATATCTAAGTTAATCGATCCATGATTTTTCAAAACCCCTTTTATAAATTTGGGCATTGTTTTCAGAGATAAATTTCGGGTTGATGGTCACCAACTAATTGTGCTCATTGATGCAACTCGGAAGTAGTTGCTTGAATTTTTGGTTAGTTTTCGGTGTTTGGTTTGGTTGTACATAGTCCAATGAAGGAAGACAAGAGACCGTTTGTGGTGGAGACCCAAGACCTGGATTTGGTGGCTGGCATTGAGGAACTTCAATGTTCCGAAATGGATGTGGAAACAAGCGAGATTGGTGTATCAATTGGATCAGAAGGAGGAGCTTGTAGCTGTGGGGTTAAGAAACTTAAATTTGGGCTTGCAACTTCTGATTCAGACGTGAGGAAAGATGAGAGTGCTGGGCAGGAAAAGAAGCCCAGTAGACATGACAGGATTGAGTTGGGGCGTATGTTTCAGACTGCTGTTAGCTCTCATAATTGGGAACTCGCTGAGAAACTAATCATGTTTAGTAATCCACAAACTCTCAATGATGCATTATGCATTGCTCTGGATTCGGTCTGGTTCTTGAGCACACACCAAGAGATCTGTGGTATAACAGCTTTAATTAAGAAGATCATATCAGATGGTGCTTATGACTTTACTCGAGCAGTTCTCCGTACTTCGTTTCTTGCTTCATGTGTCTCTGCTTGTCAAAGTAGAACAATGAGCCTCGGTGATACTGTGAGTGTGATGGCTCAAAGGTCCTCTCTTTCACTCACCTCCCTCCCCCCTCCCTCCCTCCCTCCCTCCCTCCCTCCCCCCTGTCTCTTGTTTTCTGTCATGAACCGGTTATAGTAACGTATGAAGTGCTTGTGATCTCAATCTTTTAGAGTAAGCAAGTTTCAACTTTACCTTAAAGCCTGCTAGCTGTCCAATTAGTAAAGCCTTCTTTTCATTTGCTTAGATTAGGAACACATTTAACCTCAAAGTTCTTTATAATTTGTATGATAAATAAGTACATTTTCTTTTAGATGTTTTGATTTCAAGCTCTAAACAATATTGTAAATTTACACCATAGAATGGTAGATAGTTAACCTCAAAAATTACATATCCTTCTTTTATACCCATCACTGCTTTGTATAGTGACATACCAAACAGGAAAACACTCATCTGTATGGTGGGATTGGGATCAATCTACTTGTTTTCTAAATAACAAAATTTTCTTGCTCACACTCTCAGTCTCTGATTGATTTTCGGATATGTAACCTCCCTAACATGAATTTTAATTTTCCCTTTAACAAGCTGTTATTTTTACTTTTACATGTCGGTTGTGCTGTAGTTTTTGGCCTAAGTTATTTTAATGTTACGTTTTTGTTTAAAAATATCCACATGTTATTATTCTTAATGAGTGTATTAGTTCGGTTCTTATTTTCTTGGCGTAGATTTTTCTCATCTGTGTTCCACCTCAGCAGGTTGCACGAGCGACTACAAGAATGCAATGGAGATGAGAGTTTGAAAGCTGAAGCTGGAGCAAAGGTTCAGAAATTCACTGAATGGGCTCTTAACTGTATAGGCTTCCATTTGCGCTGCCAAGGAAATGAGGATACAGTAGGGTGCAACTCAGCCGCTGTTGTACAACTTCAGTTATCTGCTTTTAAGACTTTTCTAGATCTTGCTGGCAACAACCTTACTGGAAAGGACTTCACAGAAGCCTTTGATGCAGCATGCTTTCCTCTTACTCTCTTCTCTATCTCATCTGATCCCCTTTGGTCATCTGGTATATCGGCAACTGTTATCCATGGATTGCTAGGGATGTTGGTGGAGGGTGGTGCTGACAATGTTAACCAGTGCTTTCTCGAAGCATCACGTTTTGGAAGCACAGAGCTTGTTCGCATTCTATTGCAGGTACAAAATATCATCTGTGCAAGGTTTTCTTTTGGTGCTTCTATCTCTGTCTTTATTGGTCACTTTAGGGGATTCTTGTCGATTCCCCTTTTTCATGTTTTTTATTTTAGGCTATTGGTATTGTGGACATTGTCAAACAACTACAGAATTTCAATTCCAATGCAACCCCCTTAATTTATTTTCAACAGGTGAACCTCAACTCTATAGTATGAGGCTTAACACCTTTTTCCCGGGGAACTTTCATTTAGTAGCAACTTTACCTCCAGGCATGGCCTATTTCTATGCTTTTGTAATGTGCCTCCTAACCTTCACAATAGATCATCTTGACTCTTGAGTATTTCATTGATCACTTGAAAGCCTGTTGTTATTGATTGCTTGATGTAGTCCTCATTACCTGATGGCTCTTGAGAATGAGATTGTAGACTTCTCCCTAAAGAATTAAAGATGGGCATGATGAGGCAAGCGAGATTTTGATGCGTCTTTGTCTGTGAATGCAGTCTCATCTCTCTAAGCACCAATCCACTTCATCTGAAGGCTTGGGAGACTGAGGTTACACATTTCACTCATGGTTGAAGGCTGTGGATTGATTTCTCTGGTGTTTGGACAAATTCAATATTATGCATATAGGTGAAGGCACCACTATTGATTGAACTTTTTCAGAGAGGGAGGGAGGGAGATTTGGAGCTATTTGGAACAACATTGATATTTTTTGTGATCGCTCCAACCATTGATGATAAAGAGGAGGGAACGTGTATAGTGTGAGTTTACAGATGTCATGCTCACATGGAAATTAGAAATGAGCGATGAATTGAGAGTCTAGCCCTACTCTAAGCTTAAGCTCAATTGAAGCTAATAATCATCATTTAAAATTGGACATGAATTGGGAAGGCGAACAACTTTGAAATGCCAAAAGGGGAGAACAGTAATGGCTCTAGTGCAATCACATATTTGCAGGCGCACACCTTGATGCACAAATCCCAAAGGAAAGGGGGAGGAGGAACTTTAATTGTAATGAAATTACTACAGGCTTCGCTAGCTCGATCCAGTGGCATATGCCCTCTCAACCATTCCTAGTCTAGTCCCTTGGCAAATGGAAAGTAAGGTTAGAGGAATAAAATCAAGAATGGAGCCTTAGCTACCCAAATTTCTTGGCAAGCTATCCCAGTCTCTTAGTAATATTCATCAACTAAGCACACAAAACATCACAAATAAAGCCAAACTAATTCTGCCAAGTCATGGTAGCGGTATAAAAGCAATTAATTAAGTCAATGAATCAAAAAAATATGATGTATTTAAATGTTGTAAGGATAGGGAAAACTTATGACTTTGATGTCTTGGTTCTCGAATGTATGAAATTGGATAATGAATTTGATGTTTTACGAATGCAAAATCCGAGAATGACATGTTTCTAAGGCAAAGAGAGTTAGGTTTTAAGAGAGAAAAGGGGGAGAGAAGAGTTAGGTTCTTACTCAAAATTACACCCTTTATTGAAGGGAGGCAGACCGTGCAAAAGGCATCACTAGTTATTGTCCCACATCCGTTCTCTTCGAAGGGTTCTGTTTTGGATGCTTTCTGGGGCCATTAATACCACCATCGACAAAGCCAGCTCTAGATTGCAGGACCAAGCTTGTCAGCGGATAGTAGGCTCAAACGGTCAAACCTACTGAAAAACAAAGTGACTAAAAAATAGACGCGCTGCAGGGGGGATTGATCATTACGCTTCAAGTAATACACATCAATTAGGAGATTATGACTATTATTATTACGTTACTATTTCAGTTTTAAGCAACTTCTTAAGTAGCAGCTTTCTTTTGGCAATTTAAGCAACTTCTTAATTAGCAGCTCGCTTTTGGCAACTTTCTGATTAGAAGTTCTTTTCTCTTCACAATTCAATAGTCTATATATGGGTCATAATTATTATTGAATAAAGCACATTTGGAATATTTAATTTGTGTATGCCTTGTCCTGATCGTGCACCAAACACTTTGGCCTTCCTTGTGGTGCGAACCTAGAAGGAGACCTCGCCAAGCTCACGAGACGCATGACCTGGATAGCTATAAGCTAATCTTTTAAACAGTTGCTTGCCCACACTGCCGGCGTCTTGATGCGTATGCAAGTTGAGTTCTTCACAGCCGGATTATGTGAAGCAATACGCATGGAGGTCGAGTACCAAATTCCAAACGATCTGAACTCAGCGATGATGTTGGCCGGTGCTTTGAGTCGCATGTATGACCATTTCAAGAAGTCTTGCCTCACTCTTATGCTTCCATCAAGGCAGTACCCTCAGCCAGCCATATCCAATATATCAGAACAGACCCTAAACAGACATCAATTCGCACCATCTTTTAAAAAAATTCCCGCAATGAGGCCGCCATGTGCTGGAAAAAGGGTCTATGATAAAAAAGCAAGTTTTTATTGAAATTATTGATGACGATTCTTCCCAGTACAACCTTGACTCTCCCCCTCAGTGCTGAGCCATCATTCTCTCTTCTAGTAATGACCAGTCCACCCTGCGACTGCCAGCTCGCGTCTACAACCAATCCATCACGATCTTGGTGGTATGGGGAGTACCCATTATGTCCTAGTTGCTAATGGAGAATGTGTTCTGATTATTGGTACTTGCCCCCATATGATATTTGAGGTCAATGGCAATTCATTCTCAGCAGATGTTTATGTCATTCCACTGGCAGGTTTTGATATGACCCCTGGCATTCAATGGCATTCAACTATCTCTTCACGCATATCAAGTGGGAGGGCCTCATAGTAGAATTGCGAAGTTAGGCAGCAGACTCTTCCCTTCATTTACACATGGCTGTTACATCGCATATGGCGGCCCCTTCTCTGGACACTATGCTGAATTATTTCGGTTACCTCTTCCAAGAACCTCTAGACCTCTGGTTTTCCACCTTGGCGTGCTCATGATCATTATATTACCCTATCGCATGGCTCAGGTCCAGTGGTGGTTCGGCTGTATCATCGTCCCTACATTCTGAAGGATGAAATTGAAAAACAATGTTCCGAGATTTTGCAAAAAGTAACAATCCAGCACAACCTATCTCCATTTCTTTCCCGGTATTATTAGTAAAAAATCAGGTTACACATAGTGTTTCTTTGTGGACTACAGGGAGTTGAATGCTAAGACGTTAAAAAGGAAAGTGGCAAAATCTTCACCAAAATGGACCTTCAATCCGGCTATTACCAAATCCACATGCTCCCAACGACTTGAAAAAACTAGCATTCTGCAATCTGCATCCACCATGGCTACTTTGAGTTCCTGGTGATGCCCTTTGGATTATCAATGCACCATCTACTTTCCAGAGCCTCATGAACAATATCTTTGGGCCCTATTTGAGTAAATTTGTATTGGTTTTCTTTGATGACATCCTTAATCTATAGTAAGTAATCGGTAGAGCATGTTCATCACGTCCACCTCGTCTTTGAGATTTTTGTGCTAACGGGTTGTTTCTCAAACATTCCAAGCTCATTAGTAGATACTGGATAGTGGTCCAAAACCTATTGAAAATTAAAGTGGTTGAACAAATAAAGGGACACATACAGGGGGATTGATCTGTGCGCTTCAGGCCTTCAAATAATTATAAATCAATTTGGAGACTACGATTTTATTATTATATTCCTATTTCAATTTTAGTCAACATCATAATTAACTGTTTGTATTCGGGCAACTTCTTAATTAGGAGTTGTTTTCTCTTACAATTATTGTTATTCTTAAAACACCTTTAAATGAATTAATTTGTGTATATGTTGACCAGGTCAGGTAAAAATTAAATCCAATTTCTAACATAAATTTAATCTAATGTTATTCATAGATTCCTATCATAGATACCTATCTTCTCTTCCCTGACTCATTCTCGTCGCTGGAGGTCTTTGATGCAAACACTTAACAGATTGATTTCTCAATACATTTTATTCTTGGTGTGTCACGTGTGTTCCTGATTATTTATGTTTGTTTCTTGCTGAAATGTGTCCAAGTGCAGCCTTTCTTGAACCATTTCAATTCTCTAGGCTATTTCTATAGGCTCACAAGAGCCTTAGGAATGCCGCAACTGTGGCCATGCCACACAAGTCCATCGAAGACATGTATTGGCCTCATGCAAAGTTTTTTAAAGCAAAAAGCGCACAAAAGCGATGAGGTAGGGCTTTGCTCAAAAGCAATAGCGCTAAGCAAAGCGTAGCTTTCTCATAAAAAGCGATGCTTATAAAAAAATATAAAAATAAAATATACTCCCTCTCCCTTATAACTTTGCCATCATTCCTTTTTTGGTTGTCCTAAAAACTTTTCCACTTTCTTTTTTTTAATCAATTAATTTGTGGTTCTTATTATTTCTGTCTTATATGCACAAATATAAAGAAAATACATTTGCCAATTGTGGCTTTCAAGAGAGAGAGGTGCACAATGTATCAGGTACACCGATCAAAACTTACATAGTGAGTATAAGCAGACAAGCAGTAAAGATACAGATATGGTTATGTGTGAAGTTTTACTTTATCATGATCAGCAGAGCAGCAGGCAACTACAGCAGCACCACTGCCTTATTCCCAAATATGAAATGTGGTTTGTGATTTTAAAGAAGTGCTCAACCCATATAGATGTAGTCTAAAACTCCTAGTTTTTGAAGACACTATGCAACATAAGTTTATTGCAATGGAGTTTGCATGAGTACTTTAGGCTGAGAGCATAATTAACACTCCAAGCTGAAAACCAGTCAATAGAAGATTGAAGTTTATAGTTGTGATTTTTTTTTAGAACTGTTAGGTATAATCCACCGCTGAAAATATGCAGAAAGATTATATAAAAATTATAACAATAGAATAAAATTTGGATAAAGAGATCCATTTTCGGTAGAGAAAAATGCCATAAGTGAGAAAAACATAAAGTTAGTACTTGGTAGCTTATTTCTCAGATGCTGTGAGAGGTAACATTTCACATAGGATTTTTTAAGCTTTTATTCTATTTACCACAGAAATGATTTCCTATTTGAGACTTAAAATAAGGTATAAGCTCCCAAGTGTACACCAATGCATTAACCGCTTACAAAACAGAGCTATAGTGCTATTGCTCTTCGAATTCCTAATAACTCTTCAATTCTTGATGCATGGTTTTCAATCAAGTTTTTCCCATGTATATTGGTTGTTTTGATGGTTAGTTCATATGCTATTTTCTCATATTTTGTTTGGTCGCCTTTTATTTAGATTGCACAAAGGAACAGTTTGGACGTTGATGTTGACCTGGCTTTGGGGTTCGCTTCACACTATTGTAAAATCGGAACGATGGAATGTCTAGTGGAGGAGGGGAATGCCATGGCATTCTTGGGCCCACTGATGAGGGCAGCTGAGAGGGGGTGCATGCAGGTTGTTGAGTGGTTTGTGAAGAGGGGGTGTGGTGACATGGAGCTCTGTCTAGCTCTGACGGCTGCTACATCCAGCAGTCAGGTCAAAGCCGCAGCATACCTCCTACCACACGTGCCACACACAGTTCTCGCTGCCCTTAGTATTGAGATTCTCAAGGCAGCAGGCGAACGAAGTGGTGGGTCCCTCAACGGTGTGGCATTCCTCCTTCAATCTGATTTTCTTGGGGACTCCACCTCCACTTATACTGTTGCAGACAGCATAGCAAGGTCTGACGATGACGGGTCCGTCACTCCTCAGCTAAGGGCCTTTCTTCGAGAGAATTGGTCTGAGGAAGCCTTTGCAGAGGGACTGAAACAGGGATGTGAACATTACATGAATGTGGCAAGGATCGTGAAATGGGGCGAATCTCCGATTCGTTTGGCTGATCTTCCGGGCCCACTTAGGGTCGCGATAGCATACCTGCCACTGTATAGGGAGTGTGTTGAGGCGGGGGGTTGCCTGTTGTCACAGAGGCAGAGGGGACAAATGTTGAGTGCAGCAGAGTGGCTTGAAGGTGTGAAGCTTGTTGAAGCAAACCCGGGAAGGAGAGAATTGCTGGCTATCTTGGAGCATCATATTCCTCCATTTTTGTTAAGCGATGGCTAGAGAGTTTAGGTTTTATGATTGATGCTGATTGGAAGCATCATAATAAATGTCAATATCTCTGGGGTTGAAAAGTCTGTTATAAAGCCCCAAGAAGATGTGTCAATTTCATCTTGGGTCTAGTCTGGGTTGGGAGATTTGTTTTAGGGTTTAATGGGACTGGGCTTTCCTATGCACCATCTTCAAACTATGCAGCAGAGGGAAGTTGATACTGCAAGAGAGCTTGTATATTATGTGCTTTCGTGGCAGTTTTTTTCCTCCTCATTATGGGTGGTACATTGATGAAAATGCATTATTATTTCTTGGATACTTTGTGTATACTGGTCGGGCATCCTACCCGTTACTGTTATTTGTTTTTGTTTTCTGTGCTTTTTGGGCGTGGTATTTCCTTGATTTGGGTGGGGGTTTGAGCCACTCCCAGCCTTTTATACAATAGTGCTGTAGTGCAATTAAAGGTTTGGATCAGTCAACTGTCAGCATATGCTGTTTTGGGCTACCCGTTTTAGAACTGGACAGGTAAACCACATGAACCAGGATTCCAGAAACCTTTCACGACACACTGGTATTTCTTGGGTTATTTTTACGAATGGATCCAGAGTGCCTCGCGGAAAAATGGAGGGTTGAATGGAAAGGGAGATGCACTGTGATTTGTGGAAAAAGTGAGCCTCTAGATCTGCGATCGTTGATTGACCAGAGAGTAAATACTGGTCGGGCATCCTACCTTGCTAGCCAGGGCAAGCCAGATACGTCAAATCTGATTTTTATGCTCGGGTAGTTGTCTTATTACCGTTATTGAGAAGCTCCGATAACAGGTACTTCTATTGTAAAATACTCTATCTTTTCTTTGTATTTAAAAGATCACTACATTAGGCTTTGACACAATATTTAAGTGGGAGAAGGGGTGAAAAAGTAAGAAAAATAAGCTAAAAAGTAGAAAAACTAAGGGTAATCGAGGATTTTTAAAGGAAAACAGAAAGTGTAGCAATCTTTTAAAATATAGAGGGTGTGAAATTTCTCAAAATTATTGGAATGTATTGCCACATTTAAATTCGTGATACTCTATTACAAAAAAGGGAACATGTTCAAGTGAAAAAATAGAAAACGTACTTGTTTTGAAATGAAAGAAGAGTTAAGTCACCATTGAACTATAGCATCAACAATTGATTGTGATTCATATTTTTGAGTTCCTTTTAAAAATGAAATTGTAGTTTGGGATAATAAAAAATTATGCAATTAAATAAGTTTAAACACTTTTGTAAAGTTTAAAATATGATAATATTAAAAGTAGAGGTTTTAGGTTAGAACACTTTACGTTTAAAAAAAACGTTAGAACACTTTACATGAACGGACACTTGACTAGTTGACTTGCGTCACTAGGAGGGATAGAGATAGAATGTACATTTTAATTTATATAGATGAAGTGGTGTGTATTGAAAAATAAAAAAGATAAGAGAGACAAAGATAAATGGTCCACAGATGACCCTTACACATAGGGGTGGACCGGTTCCGGTTCGGGCCTGGGCCCGGCCGGGCCTCGGTTCAGAAAAATGAGGCCCGAGCCCGAACCGGTGGTGGGCTGTTCCGGGTCCGGTTCCGAGCCAGACCGGGTCGGGCCAGGCCACCCGGATTTTTAATTTTTTTTTTCTTCTCTTATTTAACCCCCTACCCCTCCCTCTCCACCCCAAACCACTTCAAATGGCCCAAAATACCTAATCCAACCCAAAACTTAAAAAAATTCCAAAAAAAAAAAATAAATTCCGGCCCGAACCGGACCCGGCCGGCCGGGCCGGTTCACTAAACTGGAGGCCCGGGCCTGGACCGCTTTACCACCGGGCCGGGAGGCCCAAACCGGGCACGAACCGGTTCACCGGGCCGGTCCGGGCCCACACAGTAGCGGGCCGGTCCGGTTCCGGGCCGGTTGGCCCGGCCCGAGTAGAAAAGGTAGATGAAAAGTGCGTTAAAAGTGATATAACCCCTTTGTCCTTTAAAATTTTGTCAACTTTCATTTTTTGACTCTCACTAATTTTGTCACTTTCCCTTTTAAGTAAAGAATTTGTGGTTCCAGTTGATTCTTTCTTCTCTGCACAAAATTCAATCACATAATTTTTGCTTTATTGATCCCCATGCGGGTCAAATTTGACCACGTTTTAAGGGACGAAGGGTGTTAAAAAACGAATAAAAATTATGGAATATGTGGGTCCTACACATAAAAATTGTGAGATAAAAAATGAGACTCATGTGTTACGAGATCACACCCTTGCATTGGAGATGTTTTAATTTGCTTGCAAGCTTACAAGAGTGCAACTTTATATTTAAAGCTGTGTTGAAATTATGACAATTAAAAGGATTGGTAAAAGTAGTATGCTATTGTGATAAATAGTTTTGAAAACATAATATGCTACTAAGACCATTTTCATTAAAACATAAAGTTTTTTTTACTATGAAAGAGCATCATTTATATTAAAATCGAGAACACATGCAAGACAACCTTCACACAGATTTTACAGATCCAATCGGGAGCCTAGACATAGAGTCAGTCGCCTCATACAAAGCAATCTGAATCGCTAAATCGGAAACGACCAATTTTAAGCCTAAAACGTCCGGAACCTAACCCTGTCTATAAAAAGAACTCCAAAAATCCAAACATAAAAACCAAACCTACTCGCACTAAAATAAAAACAAGTACTACTAAAGAGTAAATAATATTGAAATAAAGACTTTTCACAAAACTCTTTCTGGTACGGAGGTGATTCCGAAGGAGGACGAACTCTTGCAATATGGTGTGTTGGGATATTGGGGTTCGGCCCAATATCCGGCCCCAAATATCTTGAGGATCCAGTAAAGAGGATTAAGCTTAAGGAAACCCCAGCGGAGCAAGAGAGTTCTCGAATGGGATCTAGTCAGCCACCGAAAAAGCCGTTCGGTATATCTCGAACGGGTCATATACCTCACTTGGCCATATATCATCAAACATTCTGCCTACTGACTTGGTGGGCCCAAGGACCGATCGAGAGGCCTTACAAGTTGCAAGATGCATTTAATGCTAGCGTATGGGGGTTGCCAGTGCGAGCGTGGGTGCGCAAGTGGCAAGGAAAGCAACCAATCAGATTCAGCCACATCATCCCCCACCTACACATCTCTAGTATAAATAACAGCTAATCTCACTCTAGTCCTTGTATTAGCAACTAATCTGTAGTGCAACCAGAAATTTATGTCATTGTAAGGGGTTAGCATTTTGATACTCATAAGCAATATACTCTCACTCTAGTCCTTGTATTAGCAACTAATCTGTAGTGCCTTTCGGCCGGTTTCCTGTAATCATCGTTATTGCATTAATACAAGTGAGCTATTGAGTGCGTTAGTAAGTTGATTCTAGTCTTAATCGCTTTTACCATAAATAATCCTCAATATCCAAAGGTTTGTGTTGGGCCTTCGGAAACCTTTGGATATTGAGGATTATTCCCGTAGAGCTACAATATGTAATTATGTATTAAGGTATTAATATTAAATATACTGTATATACTATTAAAATACTTATTATCGCTTAGTATTGTTTCTAAAATATTTAATATTAATATCTTAATACATAATTACATACTGTATAGTATATATACTATTAAAATTTCGGGGCCCTAATAAGTATTGGGCCATATTTCAAGGAACCAATACTTAATATTAGGGAAAACTACCAAAAAAGTCCTCCTACTATATCAAAAAAGTCAATTAGGTCCTTCTACTTTAAAAACATTCAAACAAATCCTCCAACTTTACAAAAAAGTTCAATTGAGCCTTTTTAAAAGAAACCATCCGGTAGTCCGGTAACTTATACACGTGGCAAGCCATGGCGAATAAGTTTTTCCCTTTTTTTTTTGCTTGTTTTTTCTTCCACGTCCACTTTCTTCCTTGATGCTCTGAAAATTTCTCCCTGTTTGATTTCTTTTTATGCATCGTTGCTGTGGGAGGGGAGCATTCTCTTTGGCCGTTATTACCGCCGGCGGCGGTTGGATTGTCCTTCGGCCGTCACCGATTCGATCTCACCGGTGGAGTCAACCGGTCCCGTCGGTGCAAACGATTGGCGGATGCAACTCAGAAGTGGAATAGAACTTGTTCTTTTTTGCGTTGTTGCTGTCGGGGAGGGGGATTCTCTTCGACCTTTATTGCCGCCGGAGAGGGGGGGGGGGGGGGGCTGACGTTAGGCCTTCACTGGATCGATCTCGCCGGTGGAATCAACTGTTTCCATCGATACATATGACTGGTGGATGGAAATCGATTGCGGAATTGTTTTCTATTTGTTTTTTTATATAGGCCAGGCAAGCGTGATTTGGACGGCGGTGCTCGGGTCTGGTGTATTCATCTTCTCCGGCAACAGCAAGATAGGCGGAACACATTTCTGTAAAAACGGTGGAATACCCCTTTTCAGAGATTCCAAAAGTGTCGTCATGGTCCGATATTAGCTTCTTCCTAGCCACCCAAAAAATTAGTCGTGCAGAACTTGTGTTATGGACTTTTGCTACAGACGGGGAAGAAGGAAACCGGAAAAAGGGAAAGGGGAATGGGAAAGGAAAGGCTAGAGAAAAAAAGAAAATTAAAGAAAAATAAGTAAATGCCATGTGGGCTGCAACCTGGATCGCCACAGTTGCAGGTTACCGGACAACCGGTAGGTGAACTCTAAAATAGCTCAATTGAACATATTTGTAAAGTTGGAGGATTTATTTGCCTGTTTTTAAAGTACGAGGACCTAATTGACTTTTTTAACATAGTAGGAAGACTTAATTGACAGTTTTCCCTTAACATTAATATGGCCCAATACTTATTAGGGCCCCAAAATTTTAATAGTATATACAATATGTAATTATATATAAGGGTATTAATCTTAAATATTTTAGACACCGATATTAATGTTAATTTATACTCCCTCCGTCCCCTTTTAAATGTCTCGTTTTACCATATTGGAATGTCCCTATTTAATTGTCTCATACCTTATTTGGTAAAGTTTGTGTGGCTCAAAATCATTCTTACTTTATTTTTACTTTATTCTTACTTTATCAATTAATATCAACCACACAAACTCACTTTTCTTAAAACTCGTGCCACCGTCTTCCGGGACATTTAAAAGAGTACGGTGGGAGTATACACTATATAATGCTTAAAGGTATAAATAAGTAGTTTTTATATTTTAATTAATATATGACCTGTTGTATTTTATGTAAAATTCTCGGAACATTATTTATTAGTTTCTCGTGAACACATTACTTAATCATTCTATTGAGGTTTACTTCCTCAGCCAAAGATCAATAACAATACCTCTGGTTGATGTCGATTCGGATGTTTGAAATCCAAGATAAACACACGATCAAGATGTATTT